CTAGAATTCACTAGAAAAAAAACGATATATATTCTCAATTGAAAGTATGAGGTTGGTAAGATTTGTTCATGTTTTTGAAACAAGTCTCTTATGCTCAACAAGGCTGCAGTTGTTTGATCAAAAATACAGTAAAAATAGTAATATCGTGAAATAATGTCGCAATTTAAAATAACTGTTTTCAATTGTAATTTATTTTAAAGGGGTCATATGATGCGATTTCAAGTTTTCCTTTCTCTTTGGAGTGTTACAAGCTCTTGGTGCATAAAGAAGATCTGTAAAGTTGCAAAGACTAAAAGTCAACCACGCCTACCTAAAATGGCTCGTTCCAACACGCCCCCACATATCTAGGTCACTATGTAGAAATATTAGCATAATGGCGTCCAGATGTGCACGCAAAGAAAGAAGGCGTGGTTTCAGGAACAGCAGTAGTGTTGATGCAGCCATGTCAGGGAGACACTGTGTTTCATTGCGAAAGCAAAAGCACTTTATCCTTTAAAATAGATTTTATTCCTGTGATGTCAAAGCTGAATTTTCAGCATCATTACTCTTCAGTCTTCAGTCTCACAAGATCCTTCAGAAATCATTCTAAGTTGATGATTTGCTGCTCAAAAAACATTTCTTATTATTATCGATGTTGAACACGGCTGCTTATAATTTTCTGTGGAAACTGTTATGTTGAATAAAATAATGCATAAAAGAACAGCATTTAATTGAAACAGGAATACTTTGCAACATTTCAAATGTCTTCACTGTCACTTTTACTCAATTTAATGCATTCCAAATTGCTGATCGGTAGTATACCTGGAATGCCATGTTGGGGAGGTAGACTAGCTGGTTATGAGTGAGGGAGAGCAGGTTTACAGAGTTTAACGCAGCAAACGCTCCAGGGTGGATCTCTTCAATGCGGTTCCGGTCTAAATACAACTGCTTCAGTGATGATAAACCGTCAAACGATTCCTACAGGTGGGGAGACAGTAACAACATAGCTAAAAACACAGACACATGTCAAACCATCAGCTTTAGAATGATTTGACCTCCATTCATCTAAAATTAACACACTTCCACATCTCAAAGAAAACACCTGGTAGAGGATGTCAATATGGTTGCTAGTGAGGTCAAGCTGCACCAAACGTGAAAGTCCCCGGAGCGCCCCCTCTCTGACGGACTGGATACTGCATCTCTGCAGGTTCAGGTGGGTCAGGTAGGGTGTGTGTTTGAACGCATTTTTAGGCAGTTCCCCAAGCTTATTCCTCTTCAGGTCCAATTTCACTGTGATCTGAGATGAAAGCCATTGCAAATACTGCATATGAGTACTGTATGTTGATCCACATGCTCATAATAATGCTAACAGATCCTATAAGTTAGTCAGGTTATTTTGAAAGGCATTAGAGGTCTTATTAACCCTGCATACCAAATGTTACCCATTAGGAAGGAAATTCAGGAAGGCACAATATTAAATGAGAGTCTGTTTGAATCAGTCTGTTATAGTGTCATGCATCGTCTTGTTTGATGGTGCACGCCATGCACAATCTGGATACAAAAGCAAACTTCAGAGGGATCAGACAGTAAACTATGATCATGATATTAAGACACAAGCATGATGATTTTTGTGTGGTGCTCTGTACTGGATGTGGAAAGTCACACTCACCTCGTTTATAGTAGGAGGAATATGTGTGAGATTCTTCCCTACACACATCACAGTGAGCTTTGTGTCGTCGCAGACGCAGACGCGCGGGCATTTCGCAGTCTGACCCGCAGGAACAGAGGTTATTAAGAACAGAAGCAGACGTGCTACTATCAGCCTCATGGTGCCGACCTCCTCCAACTGAAGCGATACAAAGGAGACTGATTATTAACAAAGATCTTAAGACTGTTTTTTTTTTTTGCTTAGTTTTATATTTTCTAAACAGGTGCAGTAGGCCTATCCTTTCATGTGTAAAAAATGTTAGCATGTCCATTTATATGTACATGAAAATAATAAAAAGTAATAATAAAAAAAAAATAAAAATACAACACTACCATTCAAACGTTTGGAGTCAGTATATATAATATATATATATATATAATGTTTCATAGAATAAGTAATTTATGCTTGCCAAGGCTTGCCTTCAGTTATCTGATCAAAAATGCAGTTAAAAGAGTAATACTCTTTTAATTTTTTGTTTGAATCAATTTGAAATGTAATATATTCCTGTGATGCAATGAATTTTCAGCAACAGTACTCCAGTCTTCAGTGTCACATGACAGAATCTCAGAAATACCACGAGAGAAAAGAAACATCCACATTGTTCATGTTAAACCTTTTGAACAGTAGCATAAACAAAATTAACACGAGAACAATTATTGTTACAGTCTATTTAAAGATTGTATTCCTATTTCAAACCAAACACAACATAATACTTATATCTTTAAACACCATAGGTAAATTCTTGCATTATTACCTCTGATCCCATCCTGCCCTTAAAACAATTAACACAGCGGTACCACATTTCACAGGGCTCCAAACTTTAGTGCATGAACGGAGAAAGACAAAGAAGTATTTTACTCGTTTCCATGTTTTAAATCTTACAAATATGCTCGTCCAGACGGTTTCATTATGCAGAACTTAACTTGATCTGAGTAGGGATGAAAACCCTTAATATTACTGAGCTGAATGTAAACTATTGTTTCTGCAAAAAAAGATGATGAAAGAAATGACAACTCACCTCTGTTAGGAGTTTAAGCTATATATAATCCCAGAACTGGAAATTCTGCAGCTCTACGCTTGACAGTGATGAGGAAATATTTTCTTGATCTCGCAAGTGTGTTACTTTTCGTTGCAAGTTTGTTTAATATTACAACTAAACACTTAGCCTTTAGGCATTTGTCCTGTCCGAGCGCGCAGCTTGTGTTATCTGATGTGAGTGAGACACTCTTGGAAGTATGGCCCCGCCTGTAGATGCCAGTATATGCTACCGGTCGACGTTGACCTCACAGAACAAATACCTTTTTTTCAATTTCTCCCGTTTAAATAGCAAGCAATTTGCCTTAAACCCATCAACTGCAATGCAGCGACCCCTTGGAATTATAAGGTTCTGTCTGCATTCTGAGCAGTTTTGAAATATTGAGCTTCAATGTTTTTGCATTCCATAGACTTCTGTAGATAGAACCCTTTTTGTTTTCTAAAAAAAAGGCCCAAACTGTACACATCTTACAAAAGTAACATCACATAGGCTAATGTAAATAAACGTCACAGAATAAGAATATGTGAATAACTCAATTTTGACAAAAATGTCAGATAGAACCTTATAATTCCAAGGCGACAACTTTATAACATGCACAGCAAAATCCCCAGAGTTAAATCAACTCTGCTCATAGTACATATTGTCCCAATCTACAGAGTGTTAAAGTAACACTGAAGCCGAGTTAGTTATTGGGATAATTAAGCAATTGATTAATTGATGAGTGAACATTAGTAAAGAAAACCCGCTGTTAACAATGTTGAAGATGAACAACTACTGCTCAGGCTTTTAGACATGAAAACATATCACATAATCCTCAACAGTGGTAACTCTGCTTCAGTGTTACTTTAACACTCTGTTGATTGGGACAATATGTACTCTAAGCAGAGTTGATTTAACTCTGGGGATTGTGTGTTTGTCACATTGTGTTACAACCTCCCCCAAGCCACATGGCCCAGTGTAAGCACCATCCATTGCCTCCACCGTGCATGCTGCTGAATTTGAACCATATAAAAAATAGTAGCATTATTATAGCATTAAAGTGATTACTTTGAGGTAGGCTAAGTTTTTATTTGAGATACAGTGGGTTAATATGACTTGTTTTTCAGTGTTACAATTGAAAATATATCAATTGCATTATTAGTGCACCTATATTTGTTTCTTGTATCAAAAGGTGACTAGTGTATTTCAAGAAGTCTGTGAGTTACGAAGGAAAATGTAAAAAAAAATGGTACAACTGCCACCGGTCTCCCCTATCACGAACATTTTTAATTAAAATTGAACAGAAACAAATGACTTTAGTGCCTTTCCTATTGTATTTAAATCTTTATTACAAGCAATCCTGTGGGTCATGAAGAACTTGTATTTTTCTAAATCTGCAAGTGTCATCCATTATGTCGCCTTGTTCGTCTAAAAGTGTACTTTTCCTTGCGTTAAACCAAAAACACGTGTTGACTGAAGGGCTGGACGGACGGGGTACGAGCCCGACCCAAACACGACCCGTGAATTTTTCAGGACCAGTCGGGTAACAGTCCTCTACCTCGTCCTTTACCTGGAGCCCCTTGGGACCCACAACCGTCAAGATACAGCCATAGTGAAAAAATCTGATTCCAAAACATCACAAACCGTTAAAAAATAGAATTGTTACAGTATTTTACAGTACAATTTTTTAACCAGTTTCACTACACCGTTCATAGGCTGCATATCCATCACTTTACGAAGTTGCTTGCATTTTTTATTCCATTAGAATACATGGCTATTTTTGAATGACAGTCAGGAGATGGATGCTGGTTATCCGTATGGGTGCAGTTTTGGAATCTACCAGCAGGGGCCATAAATAATATCCATGCAAGTCAAGCCTAAGATTTTAAAACAAAAGCAAAATGCAGATGTTTATAATGTGACGTCAAAAGTATCATTTGTACACCTAAGTGAGAAAACCCAATATTTAGATGTTTAGAGAAGTTTAGGTTTTGCTGGTTACTTCACTTCCTATTTTGCGTATTGCAATTTATTTCCCCAACAGTTTCAAACGGTTCAAAAGAGGAAGGATATTTCTTTATTATTATTATTTACTATTTATTTATTGTTGGTTGTAGTTAACTCTCTGTGTTCATTTGAAAGCCGTGGTGCTATTCAACAAAGCAAATTTAAAATTCACTAACACAAACACAACAACCCAGTAATAAGCTGTCAGGAGGGCGTGAAATTCAACTTGATTGATATGTTCTGTAGCCAATCGTAGCGGTACATCAGTGCTGCTAGCCAATCAGGTTAAAGGAGAACGGATTGCGCACGAGGGACGGTGGTGGAAGTTACCTAAGAACTGCTTCTGCAAGTCTGAATGTTGTATCAGATCATAAGTAAAACCAATTTATTTCTTTTAAAGAGCAGGGAATGAATCGCTTTCACCTGTTCGCGATTTTGATTTGGCTGTTAATTGCGGACAGCCAAGCAATAATCAGGTAAGTTAATTGCATCAATTCTCTTATTATCGATGTAAGCGCGTTTTATGTGAACATATTTACATATTTGATTATGAATATTTTTTTCTTATTAAAAACTTAAACAGCCCCAATATGACTTTGCACTTTCACTATATTAATCACCAAGTGTATCTGTATTAGGATAAATACAGTCTTCAAACAACAATCCGATGCCTTACGTTTCATGATATGAATCTAGCTGCAATAAACAGTGCTGCTTAGGACGTTTTGTGTAAATGTCTGCTACAGCATCAACTGATGTTTTGGATGAGGAAGTTGAACTTGTAACTCAGTTACATGTGTGAACTGCTGTGGTTGAGGTGCGACATTGTGTAAACCTGCATCTACAATGAAAACGAGAGAGGCGAAATACTTATAAACGCTTATTCATAATAATTTTATAAAGTCAGCGTTGTAATTTGACGTCGATGTCGGATCTTTTTAATGAAACCGTTCACAAACCCATCTAAACGCTTTGTGATCAGTAAGCACGATTATTTTATACATTTCCGCCTCGCAATGATACAATGTAACGGTTCACTAGTCACTGTGCAAATTTATTAGGCTGTGGACTTACGGCAGGTCAAGAACCGCCCACTCTAAAGGGACCAATCACAGTTCGCTTTGTTTATACGTAACGATTAGGGGCGGGGTTATCTAAAATATATTAATAAACCACAATAATAGACAAGTCTGGGCAAAATAACCATATAATGGTGCTACAATCTAAACAAATGATTGTCCAGAAGAAAAACAAGACGTTAAGCCATAGCAACACCACGTCACATTTTCTTCGGAAAACTTAAAAATCTAGTTCGGATTATTCATTAAATGCCTTGTTTGAACATTGTTGTCGTTTTGTGATGGCCACAGTTTTATAGATGTGAGACGCAGGTGTTTTATTGCTTTATCACTGTTGTATCTCTAGGATTCCTCTGCACAAGATGCGCACTGTGCGCCGCATGCTGGCAGAGAATGGGAGGACTATTGACGAGATCAAATCCATGGCCAGAGAGAAAACCTCCAAAGTCAGATTTTCATTGCCGTCCACAACACATTCACCGTCACCAACAAAACTGCCACCACCTATTGAGAAACTCACCAACTTCATGGATGTAAGATAATGTGTGCACTGATTATGCATTTGGTTCTTGCATGAGGACTATAAGTCGTCCGACTGTCCTTTCTCCCATTTTAGGCTCAGTATTTTGGAGTGATCAGTATTGGCACCCCTCCTCAGGACTTCACTGTGCTGTTTGACACCGGATCGTCCAACCTCTGGGTTCCATCTATCCATTGCTTCTTCTTGGACATTGCATGCTGTGAGGGATGTTTTGGGTCATTGTTTTGATATGTATTGTTTTTTTTTCATTACTACATTTCTTACTCTGGCTGTCTCTCAGGGTTGCACCATCGCTACAACTCTAAGAAGTCAAGCACGTATGTTCAGAATGGCACGGAGTTCTCGATCCGCTACGGCAGTGGGAGTCTCTCTGGCTTCATCAGTCAGGATACAGTCACTGTGAGTAAAGACTAAAGGAACTGATCACGAGAGCTGTAAAAGCACCGTAAAAGTGACTATATACTATATCACAGGCCTCTAGAAAAATCCAGTAGCTTTGTGTGAGCTTTTAAAAAGGAAACATTAATGTTGCTGAAGCTAGCGTTGTTTTAGTATTATTCATATACTATTATTGATTAATTTTGCAATTGGGTTTTATTTTTATTTTTATATTAGTAATTTTATTATGTGCATTTGTCATTTTATTAGATTTTTTAATTCTGTCTGTCTGTCTGTCTATCTGTCTCTGTCTGTCTGTCTCTGTCTATCTATCTCTGTCTGTCTGTCTATCTATCTCTGTCTGTCTATCTATCTGTCTCTGTCTGTCTATCTATCTATCTCTGTCTGTCTGT